TTTAACAAACAGGGAGAAAGAATGACATGCGCTGCAACATACTGTACGTTAGCCTTGTTTTTCTATTATGTCCATTAGCGTCTCAGTCAAAGTTCACTCCACGGCTCAACGCCGGCGAATATGATTTACTGTACGTATAGGAAATGACCCACACCCCTGTTTAATGGGACAGTTTAAACGTTGACGTCTACAAAAACTGTGTCACCACCTGCTACACCAGTTCCATTATTTTACCTGATCTGAGCCACAACTTGGCCAAACAGTATTGAAACCTATCCGAAGCTAATCCGACACAGTACATTTCTAATAAAAGCCCATATTTGTTAATCATGTTTGACCCGTATTTCTTACATGTGGTCCAGTCTAGACTCACATGTTTATATATAGTAGGTTTCATGTCATTCATGTCATTTTCATTTAGTCAAATAAAAGCTGGAAAGCTTTTGTTGCAGTATATGAATGTATGTTTTAAGTCACTTATTCCGGGGGTCTCCAACCCCCGGTCTGGGGACCAGTGCTGGTCCGTAGGTCATTTTGGAACTGGGCCGTGGTGGGACGCAGTGTAAAAATGAGAAACAGGCAATGTTTCAAAACTATAGGTCATTCAGACTCTGCTACTAACAGTCTAAAGTCTAAAAGATGATTTATCATTATTTATTTTGAAATAAATGATACTTCAAGTGGCTCTTTGGCCCAGAGTCAATGTCTCTGTCATTGGTGTGGAACCCCAGGGTTCACCACCTGGGCAAGTTTGAATCCCAGTTAGGGTGGTTGGTACCTTCCAGTGGACTCACCACCTGCAGGAAGGTTCAGGGGGGTTGGTACGGTGCAGTGTGATTTGGGTGGCGGAAAACTGCTGCCCCCGTGACCTGGTAACGGATAAGCGGATGAAAAGGAATGGATGGAAGGAAAAGGAATGATACTTCAATGGCGCAGTATTGCTGTATCAGTCGCAGTAACGGCTGATACTGGCGAACCGCTGCCTAATTCAACCCACAATGGGGAAATTCAGAGTGTGAGTCTTAGCAACCCACACAAGCTGCCACAAGAGGCGCCATTGAGTATGCGGTCCCTTTGGGCCTCAATCCCAGGACCTTCTGCATGTAAAGCCGATAGGGAAAACAGGTATGCATAACCACTCCACCAGATGTCTCCAAAGTTAGGTGCGTGCCCCATAGGGGGGTCCCAGTGCTAGCATAAAATGGAGGTAAAAACTTTGTTATGAACCAATAGGGGGCCCAGAACTACACTATGGAACCACAAATCAAGGTGTACCAGAGTTGGTTTGGAATGACAGTAAGGTAAGAAGATATTATCAATGGTCTGATAGAAGACATTAACGTCACCGCCACGAAGACATTTCTAAGAGAATGAAATTGTTGTGTGTCAACAGTTGTGTTAATTTAGTAATTTGATCGCATTTGATAAAATGAGTTTAGCATGAATTACTATGATTCCTGGATATGACATCCATCCATTTTCATCCGCTTATCCGTTACCGGGTTGCGGGGGCAGCAGTCGCCACCCAAATCACATCGTACCTGAACCTTCCTGCGGGTGGTGAGTCCACTGGAAGGTACCAACCACCCTAACTGGGATTCGAACTTGCCCAGGAGGTGAACCCTGGGGTTCCACACCAATGACAGAGACATTGACTCTGGGACAAAACGCCACTAGATATGCCATCAGTAATTGTTTTTCTTAATCTCAGTGAAAATTGTAATGCCGAGCCAGAATTAGGATTGGAGTTAGTCCAGTTCATCTCCATGGCAGCAGACATAAATAAAGGCACATAATGACCACTTGGGTCACATATATGTGTGTTTGACCTACATAAAGCAGCTTTTAAAAGCCATCTGTGCACGGCACATCTTCTTCACAGCGGTGAGCGGTCTAATTTGTCTTCGAGAGTCCAGAGTAAGGGGCCGATTGTTTTACACACGAAGGTGTCGGGTTCATCCCCCCCGCCCCCCCCTCAGATAACGTCCGTTTAATGTCATTAGGGCTTAGGGTCAGGCCAGAAACAAAAAATAAGTGTTACAAACACCAGTCGGACCGGAGACATTATCAAGTTGCACTGTGGGAAATCCAGTAAGAGAAGAAGATTATTTTAATCACCAGCGCCTGCGAGGGCTGGCCACAGACCTGAAGGTGTGAAGATAAAGGCTGAAATTTCATTCATCACTGGTATCCTGCTCCAGTGCCAGCTGGGGGCCTCAGCACTGAGAGTGAAGACAAGTTAGGTGAAGTTAGTACTGCAGCATTATAAGTACTGCAAGACAGCGTAAATGGGAAATGGGGCCATTTTTTTTTTCTTCTGGTTACTTGGCATGAGATTGGAAACACAATGATTTGCAAACATTTTTTTCAGTCACCAATTGGTTCTGTAGCTGAACCAGAACCAATGAACGGATATAAACATCAAGAGATCTAAGCACGTGCTGTTCTTTGTATTGTTCTATTTAGTGTGGTTAAATGCTATTGTGTGCTGGTTGGATAGATGTGCTGGTGATAATTGTTTGTCTGACCTGAGTGGCTGTGTAATGTTGTAATTGACAATAAATGGTATGCTTTGCTTTGCTATGCTACGCTATGCTATGATATGCTATGCCATGGTACAGGACAGTACAGTACCATATGATACCATGAGATATAAAACCTTGTAGTATTGTAAAATATAGTATGATATGATATATGATATGATATGGTACAGCAAGACGTGGTATAGTATTTTGTATCACATCGCATCATGCCTGCAACTAAGACGATGATTATTTCTAAATACATTTCAAAGTCAAAATTAAGATGCATACATATATACACACTTATATATGCACATATATGCATCTATATATATGCTGTGCTATGCTATGCTATGGTACAGTACAGTATAGTACCATATGATACCATGAGATATGAAACCTTATAGCATTGTAAAATATAGTATGGTATGATATATGAAATGATACGATACACTATGATATAACAAGACGTGGTATAGTATTTTGTATCATATCACATCGCAATCATGCCTGCAACTAAGACGATGATTCGATGATTCCTCGAGTCAGAATTCAAGATGCATACATATATTCACATATATATGTAAATATATATTCATCTATATATATGCATATATGTATATGAATTTGGAACATATACAGTGTTCACCAGTTAAGAGAAGCCAAAAACGAGGACAACGAGATACAGCTAATCGCTAATACAGCTGTAGCTAAAGATGAGCTCGTTAGCCAGCCGAAAACTTTGATGCGGAAAGGTCACACTTCCCATGTGCAGCAGGAACTTGATATAGAAAATGATCTCAAATATCAGCCAGGACATGAAAGTAAGTGCTAATAGCATGCAGACGTCCAGAGACACTGTGCTGCTATTCATCCATTAGTGACTTGACACAAAAGTAACGGCTCAAAGATCTGGCCTTCTCCCTCTCTCTCCTTTGACCCCTGCTCATCGTTTTCCAAAACTGAGACAGAACTGTGTTGCTCACAGCCCAAGCACGTAGCAACAGTAATGTTCAAATGCTATTCCAACAGCATCTTTTAGCAGTCAATAAAATAATTGAACTCAATAAAAATCTAAAAACTAAGAACGGTTATCTTGTTACTACACATTTAACTTATAAACATTGGAATACTCTATTAATACTACAGTAATACAGATTAACATACCTTCTTGAGTATTATAAAGCAAAATACAATGTCTACAGCCGTGTGAAACCTTTATTATATGGAAACAGTAACATTTTTATGTTCTATATTTTCTCCGCTAGAGGGCACTGCAGACTGATTTGTCACACCAGAAACAATATGATTTGGTTCACAGGCAGGATTCCACATTTGTTGTTATATATACATACATACATATATATATATATATATATATACATACATACATACATATATATATATATACACATATATATATATATATATATCTTTTGCAACATTTAAAGAATATCATTTCAGAAATCACTTACATTTGGCATACAATGCAGAACATGTTATTTGTTTTGGCAGAGAAATGATTAGATTAGAACAGATTGGTTTCAATTGAATCACACTAGATTATCTTAGATTAGATTGTTTTGAATTGAATCAGACTAGACCACACTAGATTAGACCAGATTAGATTAGATTAGATTTCATAAAATCAGATAACTTTAGATTAAATTGGTTTAAATTGGATCAGACTAGATCACAATAGATTAGATCAGATCAGATTAGATTAGATTAGACCAAACCAGTGGTTCTCAAACTTTTTCTACTCTGTACCACCTGAGAAAACAATGAGCTCTCTCTTCCCCCTGCTTGTTACACGTTCACCTTGCAAGTGATCTCATGACTCCGTGCTGCCTGTGCTCACGTGAGCAACAGACTTGCATTGCAGCAAAAAAAAAAAACAAGTAAATAAATAATAAACAGACATCCTATTTCATAATCTCACAAGTAGCTACACCTATTTTCTAAATGTTGTATTAATTGTGCCTGGTATGTTTCAGATTTATTCAATTGAAAATGTACAGGTGAAAATGTGAAGACTAGTCTCTCTAGTCTAATGGCACCACAGTTTGAGAACCACTAGATTAGACTAGAGTAGATTAGATGAGATTAGATTCAACCTCACTGATTGGGAGATTACCTCATGATAATTAAACCATATGCATCAATAGGTAAATTATTATTATCATTATGGGACGCATTTGATAATGTGGGGAAATATTATATTTTTAAATGTATTTACGCCAACTTATCCTATCACATACCTAAAATAAATAAATACATTACCAAATTCATTACCTTCTTCAGCTACAATTGTGTTGGATTGACATTATTTCGGTACGTTTCTTTTAGTGTTGAGGATCAGGTGGTCACAAACGTTGTTAGCAGTTCAGGAGGCTCCAAAAAGGTTTGTCCTCTGAACCCGGCATTCTAGACATGTGTGTGAAGAGGGGGGGCGGGAGGGGGGGTTGGACTCTCCCATGTCTGACTTTCACACATGGAATGTCAACTTCCTGCTCGCTCTGCACGTCTAAGAGCTCCAATCAGCCTGAAGAAGAGAGGCGACAAAACGGACACACAGTTGCTGCGTAACTTTAACTTTAACCCGTGTGGCATCAGGGTCGGCCGTTCTGTTTAGTGATTGGAGACGAGCTGCGCTGAGCCACGGAGGCTTCACCTGCTGAAATGATCCTCCTCAAGCTCTGCCAGGAATCGTGACGGTAGAAAGAAGGAAGATAAGTGAGACCGCAGCAGAAGAATGTACGTGAGTATACGTAACTCCCACAGAGGGAAGAATGACCTGTTGATTTTTTTTGTTTTTTTTGTTTTTTAGGGTGTGTGAAAAGGCACAGTTTTCAAGCAATATGTCAAGTTTGGACTGTAAAGTTTACTATTAGATGGCTCTAGTGGATATAAATGATCCATAAGAAGTGCTGCTAAATGCTAATGGCTGAAGAGGTCATTCAGTTTATGCACGATCCTGCCTGCAGTCCGGGCGTGTCTCCTAGCAACATGCTAGGTATATGGTGCATCACTAAAAAACACAAGCGGACCCCAGCAACAACTCAACAAACTGTTGAGTTGTTCTAGACCAGGGGTGTCAAACATACGGCCCGTGGGCCAAAACCGGTCCGCTAGGGAGTTCAATCCGGCCCGCTTTATGAATTTTGCAAGGGAAAAAAAAAATGCAGAAACACTTCATGTTCTTGATGTTTTGTCAAATTGTATTTCATTAAATCTGATTTTTTTATATATACTGTAAGTACAATTATATATAATTGTACTTATCTGCCAGACAACAAGGGGAGGAAACATGGACTTATTGTTATTTATAGGTAATCATATTATGATTGTACTGGTCCGGCTAACTTGACATCTGATCCGTATGTGGCCCCTGACCCCTAAATTGACACCCCTGTTCTAGATTTTCATACTATTCATTCATTTTCATTTTCCTTCAGACCAGGGTTTCAAAAGTTTTTTTGTTGGTGAGCCCACCCCCGCCCCCTATATTGACTTTTTCAAAGCTAATGCTTCAAAATTCTGCTGAACTTTATTTGATTTAGAGCACTCCAAAAAAAAGTTACATCGAGGTCAACTGGACAAAGTAGTTTTTTTTTGTTTTTTTTTTCCAAAACGTTTCATGTGAAACATCTTCAACAAACCTAGTTTTTGGATTAAATGACCTGGATGACAGACAACCTACACAGACCTTTAGAGTACTTCTAATTTCATTTAACAAAGGAGAAAGAAATCACATATCAGAAAAGTCTCCTCACTGGAATTTGCGCACCTCAAGTGGGGACACGCCCCCTGGCTTTATAAGCCTCTAAAGTGGCAGATGTGGCCTGCAGAAAGAAGGAAAAGGCCAAAACGAAAAACAAAAAACAAGACATGTAAGAAAATGATGTGACATCTGTTTGCACACGGTGGATATACTTTGTTGGAGAAGTGAGGTCAACCATGTGACCTGTGTAAAACTCCTCCTGCTCCACCTGGAGTTCTTGCCACACCCAAGAATTTCAGGTTGCAAAACATCAAAGTTACAGCGCAAAATCTTGTAAAGAGGTTGCAACGGTGTGGCGCTCTGGCCCAGAGGCAGTGTCTCTGTCATTGGTGTGGAACCCCAGGGTTCACCTCCTGGGCAAGTTTGAATCCCAGTTAGGGCAGTTGGTACCTTCCAGTGGACTCACCACCTGCAGGAGGTTTGATTTGGGTGGCGGTCATAGAGACTGCTGCCCCTGCGCCTCGGTAACAGATAAGTGGATGAAAATGGATGGATGCAACAGTGGCATACTGGGTATTTCTCACCTTTACCTTTAGTGGTGTCCTGCTTGAACAAACCAACATCCTAATAACTTCATTATACTGTAGAATCCACCAATATTATGCAGAAATGTAGTATAACTAGTCATTATTTCCTAGCCAACTCATGGAGCCACGATAACGTCATTACTAAAGTAACAAACCCACGAAGCACAATTCAGCCACAGCTGTGACATAATGTACACCAACATTATCAATAATAACAAATTATAATATTACTAAAAAGACGAAATGCATTTTACTAACCAAAACGTGTAACTACATGTACACAAAACCCATCCTCCTCAGTTTCTCGAAGATAAGTTCAAGTACTCGGTCGCATTCCAGAACCTTTCTATCTTCTTCCATGCTAATGCTAAAGTGGATGCATACAAAATGTAATTTTTAAACTATCCATCTATCCATCCATCAATCCATCCATCCATCTATCCATCTATCCATCCATCCATCCATCCATCCATCTATCCATCTATTCCATCCATCTATCCATCCATCCATCCATCATCCAATCAAATCGCTCAAATCGGCAACATAACTGTAAACCAGATAGAAGGCCTTGGTGTTGGTGTCGACTCAAAATCTGATTGGTTAAAGAACCAAACTGATTGCCATTCTCAAGGCCTCAAACAGATTTCTTTCACCCTAACAACACATGAGGCTCGAATGTGATTGGATGAAAAATGAAATATACTTGACTAGAAGCAGCGCAACTAAGAGAAGAGCTGAGAACCAGAATAAAAGTCGAGAACAGAATACTCAGTACCATTTTATAAATAGTCATGATAAATATATAGAAAAGTGACTTACCAACCCAGTGGGTTGCAACATTCATTGTTTTTCAATTGTCCGAGTGTGATAGCTAGCATCAATAAGTAACAGCTAGTCAGTTCTAAAACAAAGAAAGAAAAAAAAACGTCACAATGATTAAAGTCTGATCAACTCATTTGTAACCTTGTGTCGTTCGCAGGCTCCGCTTTAGGTTTGTTTACATTTTCTCATACAACCTGTTCCAGTTCTGCGGACACACATGGATTCTGGCCAACACTATCGCCAGATTCCTCAAATTTGGCCGTGGTAAGGTTTAAAACACTAACATTTACGCTGAGTTAAGTGTATACGCCAGTACATGTCTCACGTCTCACGGACGGTACAACGGGACGTTTCAGATGCATTGGCAGATACGTTCTACTCTGTGGGCTTCATGATGAGCGCCTGCCAGCTGTTCTCCATCCTGGAGCTTTTCCACATCGCGGACGGGATCGAGCGAGCCAGACTTCTACCTCGTTTCGTCCAGGTGCTTCATCGTTCTATCCTGGCCATTATTAATAATGAATGTACTGTATCTCACAAACCTGACCAACAACTGTACGGATGTTTGATTTTGTTTAAGGTTATGGAAAAAAACCTGTTGCTGATTCTGGTCATCATGCTGGAGGAGATCCAGAGTAAACCAGTCATTTGTGTCCAGTTCCTGTCATGGAACATTCTAGACCTCTTAAGGTATGATTCCCAGAGGTGGGACCAAGTCATTGCTTTGCAAGTCACAAGTAAGTCTCAAGTCTTTGCACTCAAGTCCGAGTCAAGTCTCAAGCCAAGACAGGCAAAGTCCGAGTCAAGTCTCAAGTCAAGACAGGCAAAGTCCCAGTTGAGTCCAAGACAAGACTGAAAAGTGTCAAGTCAACTTCCAAGTCCTACCCTTTCTGTTTCTAGTCCTTTTAAACAAAATAATAATATATTTATACAGATCACTGCCACCCGTTTTTTGTTGACCACCCCGTAGTTTTTAAATCCGAACACGATCTTAGGTATCATTTTTTTCTCACCCGCGCATTGTTTGACATCTCTCCCTTATTGGTTGTTCCGCAATTTGATTGGCTCGATTGGATGGATGGCTGGTTGGTTGGATGGATAGGTGGGGGTGTGGATGGATAGATCGATGGATGGATGGATGTTGGGGGGATGATTGATGGGTAATTGGATGGATGGATGGATGGAAGGTGGATGGATGGGTGGTTGGATGAATGGGTAGATGGATGGATGGTTGGATGGATGGGTGGGGGTGTGGATGGATAGATCGATGGATGGAAGGTTGGGTGGATGGATGGCGGATAGATGGATTGATGGGTAATTGGATGGATGGATGAATGGAAGGTGGATGGATGGGTGGTTGGATGAATGGGTAGATGGATGGATGGTTGGATGGATGGGTAGGTGTGTGGATGGATAGATCGATGGATGGATGGATGAATGAATGGAAGGTGGATGGATGGGTGGTTGGATGAATGGGTAGATGGATGGATGGTTGGATGGATGGGTAGGTGTGTGGATGGATAGATCGATGGATGGATGGATGAATGAATGGAAGGTGGATGGATGGGTGGTTGGATGAATGGGTAGATGGATGGATGGTTGTATGGATGGGTAGGTGTGTGGATGGATAGATCGATGGATGGATGGATGAATGAATGGAAGGTGGATGGATGGGTGGTTGGATGAATGGGTAGATGGATGGATGGTTGGATGGATGGGTGGGTGTGTGGGTGGATGGATGGATGTTTGGACTTCCCAAACCAAAAAAAAAAATTTTGGTGGGTGTGTGGATGGATGGATGGATGTTGGGACTTCCCACACCAAAAAAAAAAAAAATTAGAACTCAAACCTAACTCATTTGGACCATGTGATCAGAAACATGCCAGCGCAACCTGAAGACTGTAAAGAGTACAATGAGTAAAATGTGATGTTTTTACTTGATGATGATTAAGTTAATTCTTTGAGCCTACGTTCAGGTAACTCTTCTGGGAGTACATAAAAACCTCTGTCCCTCACAAAACAGACTTGAAATGTGTGCTCTGTGCGACAGATATCCACTGGAGCTGCTGCGAATCATGGACACCCCCTCGGTATCCATGCTGTGGATCCGCTACACCCTCTGGATCCCTGTATACATCCTGTCAGTGGCCACTGAAGGTGACTTGTTTTTTTTGTTTTGTTTTTTGGCAAGTGAGCAATAAACAATATGCAACACAAAAGGAAGTGTTGGAGTGCAGACAGGAAGTGGATTGGCAGAATAGAAGAGATGATAAAAATGCCAGGAAGTATGGTTGAACAAGCCATAGGCCCTATATCAAGTGTGTAAAGTGCTGATAACTTTGGTACATGCAGAAAACAGTGCTAGTGTTCACAATATGTTGAGTTCTCAGTTTAAAATTGTTTAAAAAAATTAAATATTTACACCAAAATTAAATAAAAGGACAGTATCAAGGCCAAAGTGAGAGTGAAAAAACAATTAGAAGATATAAGACAAATCTACGGGGATGAAGTAAGTAAAGTAAGTAAGTAATATGAATAAAATCAAACGTTTAAAAGATTAGTCATAAGTTTACAACATTAAAAGTCATGAGTTACAAGGATAGTCGTAGGTTTACCAGAATAAACTCATAAGTATACAAGATTAAAGTCACAAGTTTACAAGTATAAAGCCTTAAGTTTACAAGATTAAAGTCATAACTTTACAGGGATAAAGTCATAAGTTTACTATAGGTAGGTACAATAAGTTTAGATTAAAGGAATACGTTTACAGGGAAAAAGTCATAAGTTTACAAGATTTAAGTCATGGGTTTACACGATTAAAGTCAAAAGTTTATAGGGTATAAGTCATAAGTTTACAAGATTTAAGTCACAAGTTTACAAGTATAAAGCCACGCGTTTACAAGATTAAAGTCATAACTTTACAGGGAAAAAGTCACAAGTTTACAAGGATAGTCATACATTTACCAGAATAAAGTCATAAGTTTACTATAGGTAAGTACCATAAGTTTAGATTAAACGAATACGTTTACAGGGAAAAAGTCATACGTTTAAAAGATTTAAGTCATGGGTTTACAAGATTAAAGTCAAAAGTTTATAGGGTATAAGTCATAAGTTTACAAGGATAGTCATACAGTAAATTTACAAGATAAAGTCATAAGGTTTACTAGAATAAAGTCATAAGTTTACTATAGGTAAGTACCGTAAGTTTGGATTAAAGTAATAACATTACAGGGAAGTGGCGCTTTGGCCCAGAGTCAATGTCTCTGTCATTGGTGTAGAACCCCAGGGTTCACCTCCTGGACAAGTTTGAATCCCAGTTAGGGTGGTTGGTACCTTCCAGTGGACTCACCACCTGCAGGAAGGTTCAGGGGGGTTGGTACGGTGCAGTGTGATTTGGGTGGAGGCTGCTGCCCCTGCAACCCGGTAACGGATAAGCGGATGAAAATGGATGGATGAAAATGGATGGATGGGTTAACAGGGAAAAAGTCATAAGTTTACAAGGATAGTCATACAGTAAATTTACAAGATTAACGTCATATGTTTACAAGATTAAAGTCATAACTTTACAGGGAAAAGCCATAATTTTGCAGGGAAAAAGTCAAGTTTACAAGATTAGAGTCATAAGCTTACAAGGATAGTTATACGTTTACAACATTAAAGTCATACGTTTACTAGAATAAAGTCATAAGTTTACAAGATTAGTCATAAGTTTACAACATTAAAGTCATACGTTTACCAGATTAAAGTAAAAGGTTCACCTAAATGTATCGAAATGAACTAAAACGTTTACCAAGTCATACAATAAATCAAACAAATAAAGTTCAAAGCCATCTGTTTCACTCCCTTCCAGGCGTAACCATCTACCAGGCCCTGCCATTGGTTAATGAGGCAGCACCAAACTCATTCCACGTTCACCTTCCCTTCATCCTGCTGATCTACCTGCCTGTCCTGGCTCTTGGTAAGCTCACCTATCTGCTCTTCACACTACTGTTTGTGTTTAAGGTTCATTAACCTCCATTAACGATTTTTTTTTTTTTTGGGGGGGGGGAGTAGAAAAAAATGTGGGTACAATGTTGATGTTTGGATTTCTGCAGCGTTGGTTTCTCACTATTCCTAATTCTCATGGAGTTAATCTTCTCCATGTTTCAATGTTCATCTAGTAAATTCACTCTTCTCCCTGTGAACTAAACTGTTTATGGTCCCTCCTCAACCTCGGTTCCACTGTGGTCTGTGTTAAACCTGTTTTGGTTTAATGTGGTTAAATTCTCTGATGCTCCATTACACTGCAGTTTTGCCAGGCACGGAAGCTCTTGCAACTCAGGTCTCAACTTGTCGTCAGTGTGAAATGGGTAAACAGTTGAGGACAAGTACGGATCCCCCATCAATAGTACCGATTCTGGCGTATCCAGAGTATTATAAGGGGGAACATTTGCAGGTCCCATAGTGAAAACTCTCTGCTTTTCCATGTGAATGGAGGAGAGTGAACCCATGCAGTCAGCCCCGCCTCTTTGTAACCTTTCACCCCAGCCCAACATCACAAAAACAACAATGGCGGAAGCCAGGCTACTTCTGACTCTGCCAGAGAGGCTAATTCGGCTACTTGGTGTGCTACAGCTAATAATTCTAATTTACTGCCATCTTGAGCACCAAATTGGGGATAACACAACACCTGACATATGGTCCACAGCCATACGGGGGCTGTCCTAAAATTGAACAGGGGGGCCGGGTCAGGAGCAGAGAGATGGAGTGTTCGTGTGAACTAAGATAAATGACATGGAAAAGTCATGCATAAAGGCTAAAACGCTAAAATGCTTTATCATCATGTTCTACGCCATCTATTGGGGAAATGTGGGTATCGCATGGAAAAGGCAAAAATATAATGATAATATAAATAAATTATATAGTTTGGAAAAGTTTAGCGGACCAGATTAAAAAGCTGAACGGGCCGCATCTGGCCCCAGGGCCTTAGTTTGCCCATGCCTGGTCTACAGGGACCAAATCATAAATAACTACTGAATTTTCTTGCGCTCTGTCTCAGATGACGATTGTTAGGACCTCTCTCCTCCCACTTTCGCATTCACAACTTGCTTGAAATCACCATAATTCTTAAAAAAATAAAAGACTTTCTCTCTGAAGAAAGTGAAATCACTGTTACTGATTTCCAAAGGGAACACTTTGATTCTAAAGTAATTTGCTGAATACTTGTACATCTAAAATACAGGTGGAAAATTATTTTTACTTATTTACTCTGTGACAGGCAGAACAAACACACTCTTCCACTAGTTGTCAGTATATGGCTATAAAAACCAAAATAAAGAAATTATTTTGAAGGAGATCTTTGTGCGTGTCTTTCTTCAATTCCTGACTGTATTAGTGTTCAACTAAATAGGCTCAGGTCTCAGTGTCAGTAAACTGAAAATAGAAGGTTATTTTATTTCATTATATATACTTAAAAAAAAAGTTTGGTGTTGAAAAGAAAACATCCTAAAATAAATAAATATTGCATGGTTTAGAGTCTGTTAAATTGTTTTTTTTTTTTTTGTGATTTCTTTTCCAGGAGCTTCTGTGACCGTATGGCAGCTGCTGAAGGAGAGGAAGCATCAGATGAACAGATGGAACAATAAGAAGAAACGAAGATGACAAATGAAATCGCTCACTGATTTATTGCAGCTGAAACGCATGCTAGCCTGAGACACATCTCTCTCTCTCAGCTCCTGTGGCCTCCGTGCATCTAAATTCTGTCGTACGTACGCATAAAATTCAGTACAAAATAATCCGTACTCATCAAACGTGCATACTCCGTACGTACGCATACTAAGTAATGACATCTCGTGCATGGTTAGCGTTATTTGCATTCAGAAACACCTCTAACTGACCATATATGGCAGCAACAATTCCTTTTAAGGATTCGGGAATGGATTGTTATGCATTTATTGAAATCGCAGCACAAGGGCGAAGAATAGGGACGCACTCTTTACTTATTATCGTGACAATCCGAAATAGCCTGCAAATTGTAAATGGAATTAATGAATAAAAGGGCGCTTTAAATGGAAACTTGGGAGTTCGCAATCCTCTGGCGATGGCGTAAAATCATGCAAGTTGGAACCAGAGAAATTATGGCATGGCTTTGGTGCGTTTTGTGTCTCGCTCCAACAGGGGTTGTAAATCAAGGGAAACCATCAGTACGTTTTTGGTGAAGCCTGCTAAGATGCTACTGTGTGCTCTTGCTGAACAGATTAGCATTACGGTACTCCAAAGTCCACCAATAGTGCAAGATAAACCATGGTACTTCATCATTCATTCGTTCGTTTTCTTTTCAGGTATTCATGCCACAACTGCGTTTTGTAGCTTGTCACAGCACATCATTTCAAATGTTTGCGAAAATTACCGTAATTTTCGGACTATAAGGCGCACTTAAGCCTTTAATTTTCTCAAAAATCACCTTATGTATTACTTCTGGTTGCGCTTACTGAGCTCGAACCGATTTTATAAAGCCAAACCACAGAGCACATCACACATGATGGCACACAATTGAAGCACACTGGGAGCCAACAATGACGTTTAACTGTTATCACAACTAGAAGATGCTCAACAACAGTTGTTACAGTATGGTTGTGTAACCCAAATCCGCGCATCGCACGGTGCCTCCAAACCCCCAGAGACTCAGGACGACTCAGACGCATGGCTGTCGATTTGTTCGTGGTCAAGACCTCTTTTTATTTCTCCTTTTTTATCGATACAGGAAAAAAAACACATTCTCTCTCTGCAAAACAACTTCCGCACAGAACAGCGTCAAAACAACATCCGCGCTTGAAGCAAAATAATTCGGGGCTTGCCATCATTCCGGTTGGATTAACCACAGAATTCCAACCGCTAAATATTGGTGTAAACAGGGCGTTCAAAGTTAAATTGCGAGCTGCTGGATGACAGAAGGCGAACACACATTCACCAAGACACTATCTGCTACGTTGATAAATTCCAAACTTTGCGTGGGAATGTTCGTACGTACAAATGACGCACACTTCTGTGCGTGGGTACAGTTGATAAATGAGGCCCCAGGGCTTTAGCAAGTCTGAAATGCATAGAGATGTTGCTCAGTTCCTGAGAATGTGTTGGGTTTTTTTTTGTTTCGAATTTTGGTTAAATATAATTTTGGAAGAATGTGGTTACAATTTTTTTCTGTTTATGATTGTATGAACGCAACACGACCAAACGTCAATAATTATTTTATTTCTTCCTTGAGGTACATTTTTACATCTATTTTCTTTTTTTTTTTTTCAGTTATTAAATGCTTCATTGACTCTTAAGAATGGGAGGAAAGTATTTGTACCAGATATTTGCACTGTTGCTGTATTATTTATAATAAACAAATACTACTTTTTTTTAAAAAAAAAATACTGTTTTTTTTTTCCATTGTAAACATTGAACACTGCAAATGAAATGACAGCATGAGCGGTGACCTTTGACCTTTGGTTGAGTTTGAGACCCTGCTTTAACACTGACATTGCTAGCAGCAGATTCAAGTTTCACAGAAGCATGGTGTTTTTTGTAAGTGGTGAAGCTGAGGTCACTTTTAATGAAAATACTGTTTGGTGAAGAAGATTCTCACATGCGCCTGACGTGGATCCATGGTTTCTACGCTTCCAACCGCTGCCGCGACACTTCCCTCCGTCACGGCCGCAACCCTCTCCATACCCAACGAGTACAGACGGGACATGTACACGTTGTCCCGTCAGCGTATGGCTACCAGCCATAAGCTCTGGTCCACACAGCCTTCTTCCTGAACTCGGCCGACGACTTCAGGGCCAGCAGGGCGGCTAACAAAAAAAAATACGACATGAGAGTCCCATACAACAATCATGGCAAAACGTTAGCGTGACAAAACGTTAGCGTGTCTGATGTTACTGTACTTATATTATGGCTGTTAGAATACACGGACAAAAATCATCGATTAGTACATTGTGAACACAATAGATAAGGCAAAATAAAACTGAAAAACCGATAACAATTCTTACAGATATTTAAAAAAAAAAATCGGGCCAATAATATCGGTCGGCCGATATTATCGGACATCCCTAGTTTATTACCTTTGGCTGTGCTCATTGTTGTCGTCGACAGATTTTGGTCGGAGCCTTCTGTGATGCTGAGTAGCCAGTCTATGAACTAACCAACGGAGACAAAAGATACATGCTGTCACCAGGTCATTTACACACACACTAAATATTAAAAAGTACTCTCTACATGCAGTTTGGCTCGACATTAGAGATCGCACCGTTAACAAGGATTTAAGTCAACTGTCTTCCAAGTCAACAGATATCCAAGACTTTTCCAGGTCAGTTTATGGTTTTTCCTTGAATTTTACACGTGTCAAAAATGACATAGTTTCCCTTTTTTAAGGAATTAAGCTTGTACAATGTGTACTGTATACAAGTAAGTATAAGGATGAGTGTAAGTTCTCAGTGTATAATACAGTGATTCTTAACTGCTTCAGTACACTCATTAGCCTCCGTAGGAAAATGATCCAGTTTGACTTAAATGGCCTGAAAGCTATGATTCATTTACAGCAAATGATTGTCTTTGCTCATCTGTGTGACAGTGTCAGAACAATTAAATACTCTCCCACTAGATGGCAGTGAATGGCTTTAAAACGTATAAAAGAGAGAGACTCAGAGCTATTCTCTGAAAGAGATCTTTGTCAGCCTCTTTCTTCAATTCCTGCAAGTACATCGGTGTTGTGTTCAACTAAACAGACTTAGGTTCCACACTTTATTATTATTGTTTCCTTTTTTTTAACATTATTCATGTGATTTTTATAGAAAATTTAAACAAAATCTTTGATTTTTGCTTACTATATATAACTAATTCACAATGTGCTACTGATAATGAATAAGTTTACAATTTTTTTGGCAACAAAAGTATGCGCAAATTACATTCTTAGATAACTTAAGTATCCAGATTTAATGGGAAACCAATAAATAAAGCCCAAATGACTTGAATATTGAAAATTGCAATGTTCAAATTCAAGCACTTTTAAAGGTTTTTTTAACCACCAGTTCCGCATTATGCGAAGTGCACGAACCACTTAGTCGTGAGAATTTGTGTTTTGGCATCACCTCACCTTCTGCCTCTGGCTACTCCACGGCTCTTTGTCTAGGAGTAGAGTCAGGCTGTGGGGCAATCCCAGCAGACACTGATGCAGGGCGTGGTCCGTATGTGACTCCTTTCCGTACAGGCTGTGCTGTAGAGCCTCGGGCTTGGAACCGGGTTGCCACGGGAACCAGGTGGCTCTGATGCCCAGCAGGAGGGGCGTGCAGAGATCGGCCCAGGAAACAACAGCAGCGGCAAAGAGCTGAAACAGGAAGTTGGTGGCCTGCAGAGAGGTGAAATATTTTGTGTGTTCGAGCATTGGCAGATTTTGAAACACTATTAACCACTGTTACTCTTAACATTGTTTTGGCTTCTAGCAGAATTTAAGAGTAACAACTAAGCTATGTTTGGCCACTAGGGGTAGCAAAATATGGTTTTGGGTTTAACACCACTAATCAGTGTGAACATTGACTACATATGTACATACATATACATACATATAGATATATACATATATATGTACATATATGCATATATATATATATATATACATATACACATATCCATACATATATACACATATACATACATATACATACATATATACATATATACACATATACACATATATACACATATACATATACATATACATATATACACATATACATACATATACATACATATATACATATATACACATATACACATATATACACATATACATATACATATACATATATACACATATACATACATATATACATATACCTACACATATATACATATACAGTATATACATACATATATACATATACATATATATATTTGTATGTACACTAAGTATACCACATTATCTCTCTGGCACTATTAAAGGCATTTTAATGTTGTTTATAAAGAGACCTACTGTACAGGCTTTTCAGAGGCTGAGCTACGTTTTCCAAATAGTTCCAGGACGCTGAGTCATTTTTTAGCAATGTGTGCCGCTTCACAAGTGCTCACACTTGAGTGGATTCTTGAAATGCGTGTCTACATAATAAACATCTGCGTTCCTGGCCACTGAAGGACCTCCTTGCAGAGACAGGCAAATTAAGATTCGTTTGTCCTGTGTATTTCGTTGAAAAGCTTGAAAAAAGAATCCTACAGCTTGACTTTTTTCTAACCTAATTTACAGAAGATCCAGTTTCCTGTTTATAAAAAGTATTAAAATATATGTATATACTATATTTAATATAATATATTAATATGAATAGTACATATATAGAATCCACATTTTTAAAGGTAAAACCTTTGTATGTATATTTATTTTATAAATATAATTTTTTGCTATATTTCGCTGTGCTGTACTGAGGGAGCAAAAGGAGAATAGCAAGGAACATATATAGATATATACAGATATGTACATATACAGTATATACACACATATACATATATACACATATATACATACATATATACATATATACACACATATAGATATATACACATATACTGTATATACACATATGTACATATATACACATATATACATATATACAGACATACAGTATATACATATATACAAATATGTATATAAATAAATATATATATACTGTATATATGTATATATACAAATATATACATATATACATATGTATATATATATATATATACATATATATACATACTGTATATGTCAGCTGCAAAGTGAACTAAGTAACTGCCTCTTGTAACTGTGTAACTGTGCTCTTCTATTAGGAAACTTACGGCTTGACTTTTCTATACCATATGTAAATTCATACTGATTGCTCTACATACACACTACTGATCTCTGCGACATTGACGGAGTATAAGCCACAGTTGGGTTTTTTTTTTTTTGCCTACTCACACTTACACAAAATATAGAATACAAGCCGTGGCTTTGATGAAGTTAATCATAAATAGAAATCATACCAGTTGTGTGTCTCCACATGAGACCACCGTGGCACCATAGGCAACGTTTCGGATGTGGCCCATCAGCTCCAGGAGCCACTCAAGTCGTTTGTTGACACCTATGAGAAAAAAACAGAAATGCTTAGAGACAGATACAACAAAATAGTACATTTATTTTAGAGTTCTCAGTGTTCCTCAACCATATATATATATATATATATATTTAATTAGTTTTCAGTTTAATTACAAACTAACACGGTGGTTCTTAATTATTCTCTGTCATGCCCCCCCCTTGAATTCCCCTAAATCCCGTGGTTTTGAAATACTATTAAGAACCTAATAACATGTATACTTTTATCTGTACAAACCACTGTATGAGTTGCTGCCACCTAGTGACTGGAGGCTTGTTATCATTCAAAGATTACAGCAGTGGTACACTTATGTCCAGCGTGTCATATTCTATTGGAACCCCATGGCACATCAACG